AAACAAGAGCAAAAAGTGACGTGTATGTGTGCACGTTGCTCGCTTATTGCGGATTTTATGAACACATCAAGTCGAGATTCGAATTCATTTCCAACCCGCAGTGGCGTCCCGAAACAATATGCAATCAAGCAACTTGGATATCACAATTTCATTTTCTAGGCACACATTTTAATTAAGGGAGTGAATAATCGAACCGTAAGTAAACCAAATTTTCGATTCGTTCGATGTGCTCCGACGCAATTGATTTTTAATTGACCTCACAAAAAGCGCAATCAATTCCGTTGCGGAGACATTTCCGTTTAGTCGCCGGCAAAATAATTACACGGCGTTTGATTTTCTGCAACAATTCCCGACGGTCGTGCGCCAGGTAAAAAGGAATAACGCCCCAGTTCGATTCGATAAATTCTACAGCTCGAATTCGCCGATTTTCAATTCGAAAATCGCCCGGTCGGATCATTTAACAACGCCGTTCATTTAAACGAGCAATTCCAGTAAAAACTCAATGTGAGCTACCCTTGAGCGAGCCAAAAAATAATATCTCATATCATAATAAATGATTCCCCGTTAGATCTTGCTTGATCGGACATGTTTAAGCATAATTAGAGCGATACCAAACATTCCGTTTCCTGTTAACGTGCCGTCCGGACTTAGCTTTAGCTCGCAATTAAAAGTTTAAGAATGCACGGAGAGCAAGGAGATCATAGATAGGCCTCGATATTACTATCAATTACGCGTTGTCAACAAGCTATTTAGCTTATTAACGGGAGGCTCGTTTATAAATATGGGAAACGCCGTGCCTCCGCACGATCAAAGAGATTTTTTTAAATTGGTGATTGTGAAATATTGTATTTATTAGGGACGATTAATTTTATTATCGACGTTGGAATGCTTTGGAGAGATTTTGAGAATTTACATCACGATACGTCTTGGAGTGATGTTATTTTTATGCGACTTTGCAAAAATTTTATTGCCGATTTAATGTGCGGTAAAAAATTGAAATTTCTTTCTGCAGATATTAAGCATAATTTCGCATGCAACAGCGCTGCGACTTTATTAAAATTAAAACACATAAAGGTGAAATATACACTGTGCATGTCCTTTTTTAGGTTTATTTAAATGCCGGCATCTCTTAGCTCGTAAACAACTTATGCGTTTTTCGGAAATAAAATTATCTCCGCGACAATATAGCTGTTTTTTACCGATAAACTTGGGAAATTATTCGTGACATACACTAGTGGCTATATAACCGGACTTTACGGCGTGCGTATGACAATATTAATAAAGAAAATTATCGGAGAAAGTTCACTAGAGACAGCGCTTATTAAGCCGTTCATTTTTATTCGAACGACTGAATATAGCTATTTGAAATGTAACGAGATAACTTAATGTGACACAAATTTACACTAAATAATTCATATAAAACACATCAGTATAACTTATTTGAAACCTAATTCTATCCAATTTCAGGAATAATTACAACAAGATTACAACACCGACGAATGATCCAACATCTAACAAACTTTATTGTGAATGCAGGCGAGACAATTCGCAAAGGGTCCTTCTCGCAATATCGCCGACTCCACTCGACTCCCATTCAACCTAATCAGTACATAATTAATTCGCCGTGTAGCTAATGGAGACGTTCGCAAATTGATTCTGTTAAAGCACGAGCATCTCCGCAACGACAGCTATTAACAAATCCAGAAACGCATAACTCCGCGGAACCATATTCGTTCTCCTCCGGGCCGGTTCACGATCGAGCAATTAATCACTGCCCGTAATGATTCTTCGGTATGTAATTCCAGGAAGATTATTGCGCCCCGTCCAGCCAACTGCCGAGCGCCCGGGGCTTAAATCAAGAAGATGGAATTCATTGAGTTAGGTCGTGTTGCCGAATACCGAATTAGTTTTGCACTCGTGCAATGCACAATATTTCGCCTAACAGCTGGGTAATGGTCAAACTGAAATGACCAGGGACGTATCACAAGCATAGAAAAAACTTATATGTATACATTTGATAGATATATTACCTATAAAGACTCTTAAAAGGATTATTTATGTATTAAAATGAGACCTGAACCTTAATAAGAGAGAAATTTAAGCACCTAAGAGAGCCATTTATATACCAAAGAAAGTGAATTATTATCCAGTGAGAGCCAATTTTCTACTCCAGCGAATAAAAATTTATGCAGCCATCAAAAACTATATAATAAGTTTGAGTCCAGTCCTGGCAACTCCTACGCCATATGCACACATCAACAATGCAGCAGACTTGCCTTCTGAAGTATAGTTTCAGCTACGAGCGACGGCGTCAAAGAGAAAATTCGAAAAAAGCTGAAAGCTGTGTAATGAGAGACACGTGTCCTTCAATACCTGGCCTTTGTGCAACGCCCCATTGATCCTGAATCCTAATATCCGTGGCGCAGATAAAGCGACCAGCCGCCGTTTTCTATTCCCCATTGTGCCCCGGCTACAGGTAATGAAGATACAGATATGTAGATATTATGATAAAAGCCGAAACATTTTGTTGTGCAATATCAAAGGACTTTATTGTACGGTAAAAAGTGAGGTAAGCAACGACTTTTCTACACACGAATAGTAATTGCAGCATGCATTATTTATAATAACCTACGTGTAATTTTCAACGTCAACAAATCAGAATTGTTGTGTACCTACTCGAACACGTTAACAAAATAATTATTACGACCAAATTAGCACGGTGATTACACCGGACCTCCATCGCATCCATTATCAATAATTGGACACGTTGCCATCTGATAAGCGATGATAACTAGCGCTTAATTATTGCAAATGAAGCCATCGTTCGTCGGTCAGTTATTATTATCTGATTTATACACAACGGCATCGGGAAACTTAATAGTTTCGTATGTAGATAAGTGTCCAGATACGCAACCGAGTTTCTCTCTATGCATTATGCAATAGAATCGTCAGGATAAAGCCTTCGTATTCAATAACTGGATAATTTATTTAATTATTAGATGTACATATCTAAAATGCTTATAAATAAATAAGAAATGGTAATGTTTGCCGAAGGAATCGATAACAACACTGTGCCGGTTCAAATTTCTTACCATTAACCGATGCTTCAAAATCCAATATCCTTAAAATTTTCGGTAATTTTCTTTTCATAATTTAATTACACGGTTCAGTTTGGGTAATTGTTTATTCTTCTCTGGGCATTAACTGTTCGCCAGTGCTTGATTAAATAAAGGGTTAAGAAAACAGGGCAATATTATTGCCTGTTTGCGAAAGTGGTTAAATGAATTAACCATGCGATACCGGAAAATCGCTTTGGAAAGTAATGAAACTCGAACTGACGACAAAAATTGACGATCCGAATGATTCCGATCGAATTGGAGTTTCTTGTTTCAAAGCGATTCCGCTTTCGGAGTTGTTTGGATTTCCTTGTTTACAATTTGTTTTGTTTTCCGAACGGCTATGTACCGAATTAGGTACTTTTATTTGTATAAAGAATTTAGAGTTGAACAAACTAATGAAATTTTATACGTATAGAATTTAATTCTGTTAGTACATCTGCCGTATTCACGAGAATAGTTCAAAGTTTATCGATCAGAATTTTCCGAGTAGGAGAATAAACAATACCCGAGATTAAGTAAGTAAAGAAAGTAAAATAAACCATTGAGATAGAATCGATAAAGGAA